AGAAATCGTTTATTTGAGAAAAAGAAAATTTATTTGGATCAAATAAAAATAATATCTGTTCCAGAGCCTACTAATTTTTTTTTACCAGTTTTGAATAAAAAAAATGTATTTAGCATAAATAAAATTTTTATTTAGCGTAAATAAATTTTTTTTATTTAAACAAAATAAAACTTATTAGAAACAAATGAAATTTATTGAAAAAATAAATATTTATTAGAAACAAATAAATATTTATTTGCCTCTGTCGAAAATATATCTTCTTTTTGAAAATAATTCAAAAAATATACCCTACAAATTATTTCAAAGTAATTGTTTATTTGTTTCAAACAAAAAGAAAAATGTTTGGCACAAGAAAACTATTTGTTTCAAATAAAAAGTTTATTTGGCTCAAATAACTATTTATTTGTTTAAAATACAAAAAGTTTTTGCCAGAAATAACTATTTTTTGTACCAAATTTATTTATTTGATTCAACTAAAAACAATTGTTTGGTAGAAAAAAATTATTTACTTGTTTCAAATAAAAAAAAAATTGTTTGGCAATTGGCATGAAAAAATTATTTGCTTATTATAAAATGTTTGACTCAAATAACTATTTATTTGTTTTAAATAAAAAATAGTTTGCCACAGATAGCTATTTTTTTTATTTGTAGCAAATTTATTTATTTATTTGTTTCAAATAAAAAGTTTGTTTGGATCAAATAACTATTTATTTTGCCTCAACTAAATGAATCGTTTGGGACGAAAAAACAATTTATTTGTTTCAAATAGAAAAAATTGTTTAATACGAAAAAACTATTTTTAATTAACTATTAATTATTTTATTAACTATTTTTAACTACGAGAAAACTATTTATTTGTTTCAAATAAAAAATAAATATATTTGGTGCAAGAAAACTATTTATTTGTTTCAAATTAAAAAAAATTGTAAAAAAAAAATTATACTTGTTTAAAAAAAATGGTTTGGTACGAGCTGTTTTTTTTATTAAAAATGTTATTTTGACGCAAATAAATTTTTATTTGTAATCAAAAATAAATATAATTTAAAATTTTTTTTAAAAATATTCGTCACTTTTAAGCACTGTTACGATTGGTAAAAATAATGCTGAAACGCTTTCAATTAACATTGAGAGTGAAGAATTGTTTTTTAAGATTGGGTCATGGACCACATAGGAATAAGACTATGTATATATATATATAAATCAGACACGAGCATTTTCTGTTCACTAACTCACACATATATTCTTACAATGGTGTGATGGAATGATTGGCCATTTGATCAGATCTGATTAAGTCTGTCTTTGGCATGATCACACCAAATTATAACTGTGATCTCATATCTACTTCCGTCATTTTGTTTTAAAAATATATATAAGTAAACTATTTTTTTTAATCCTTTCCTTGTTATACCAAAAATGATCATTTTTTACTAAAATAAAATAAAAAACGCCTGGGGTCCATTGGACCCACAGTGACAAATAATAATTAATAAAATAAATTAAAATTTATTAATTATATTATATATAATAAATAAAATTTAAAAAAAAATAAAATAAATTAATAAGACAGAAAACACATTTAATTACTAAATATTTATAACAATTAGTGATCTTTAGAATACACCCAGAGAATTTTTTTTTATTTGAACCAAATATAATAGGGGGGGAGTCAGCATGGTTGGGCCATCCCTGTGTTTATGGCTCTAGCACACTGGCGTCCTCTATTTTATTATGCAAATACTTGTTAGTGATGGCAACTAACTTTTCACGTCAGTTACAGTAAAATGCAAATGCAATAAACATTTAATTTTTCATGAAAACCAAAATAAGTGCTAAAATGACAACCCAAAACTTTTTCACAGTGACAGAAAAGTCGACTAAATAACAGAAGGAATGAGCAAACAACAAAATAAAATGACAGAAATTGTTCATTACAATATAATTTAAAAGTTTCAAGCATTATTTAGCGTTATTGTTATTCAATTTTTTATATAAAAAAAGAGTCAAAGATGTCATTTCCATTAAAAAAAATTGGTTTTAATAATTTTTTGTACTAATTTTTAACTTTTTAGACCAATTTCGCGAATAATCGGATTTTGGTTCAGGGGGCTAATTTTATTTTAATTTCAGATTTTATTTTATCATTTTCAGCTCAATTTCAGTATTTTTCTGACATTTGCGGGTCTTTTTTGGTCAATTTCCTTCATTTCATATTGATTTACTACAGTGGCCCAACCTACACGACAAAAATTTTTTTTTTTTTTAAATGCCTGTAACTTTTACACTTTTGACCCAGTCATTTTCTGATGTTCAAAAGAAACATTCCACTTTAGTGTATCTTTCCAACCATATACACGAGATAATTTAAAATTTAACCTAAAACTGAAGTTATGGGCACAAGTCAAAAACTGGCCCAACCATGCTGACTCTCCCCTATATTTGAGTTAAATAAACGTATATTTGTCTCACAGCCAACTAGCCTATTTATTTGGCGTAAATAACATTTTTTATTTAAATCAAATAAAAATTTATTTAAATGAAATAAATATTTATTTGAATCAAATAAAAATTTATTTAAATGAAATAAATATTTATTTGAATCAAATAAAAATTTATTTAAATGAAATAAATATTTATTTGGCTGTGAGACAAATATATATAATTTTTCTGGATGTATAATATTTGGAAAAATGATGAATAAGAAAATAAAAATATTTGCAAAAAAAAAGAATGAAAAATGTCTGTCATCGAGATAAAGAGTTTTTAAAAAAAGCAATTAGAACATTAGATTTATTGGATTGTGATATTAGAACTGATTCAAAAAAAAAAAAAGAAAAGAAGATTCGTTACTTAAAGTGACGTTATTACTCTTTCTTTAGAAACTTTACGACTGACATAAACTACTTTGTGAAGAAAAATTACATTCTTATCTGCGAAATGAGGGACTATAAACAATCCAATGGATCGCTGCGTGATGGAAGTTTGCGCTCGTAACTTGTTATCCTTTCCTATCGTCGCACAGTACATAGTGTGTGTGATATAGTCGGTCAAATGTTCATGAAATAAAAGCGTACGCAACATCCTCAATTCTAGATAAAAGCTGAAAACTTATAAAAGGTGTATATATACCTATATATACAAAAGCCGCTTAACTCACTATACATTATATTGCCATAAAATCACAAAATCTTACGATTTGCTTTATCATCATTTTTACACTTACTTACACATTTATGCAGAATTATTGCCTTGACAGTTTTTTTTTTCATCATCCAATTTCCGGAAAATTATCATTAATATTTTATCTTTAACGCTTATGAAAAAATTCAATAATATCAATATTCTGTCCTTTTTATGATTTGAATTTAATTCTATAAGTTATTTTTTAAATGTAATTTTAATATCTTTAAATTTCATTTTTTTTAATTTAATTTAATTTCACCAACAGAAAATATATATTTTTCCCAGAATCAAATAAATTTTATTTGAGCTAAATAAATTTTTTTATTTAAAACAAATAAAAAGTTATTTGGCTCTGAGACAAATATATAATATATAATATATTTAATATATGTAATATATTTTCTTAAATATAAGAAATATAAAATTATAAAAAATAAAAATATAAAAATTCGGATTATTTTAATCGTTTATGGCATTAATTTAATCTGCAATGATTTTTAATATCTTATAATTTACTGAGAAAAAAAAATTGCAAAATATATTTAAAAAAAAAGACTATTGAAATTAATTAAAGAAAAGTAATTTGTTTACATGTAGACGCAATCAACGAACAATTTAATAATTACTTTGACAATTTAATAACTGTTTAGAGAATTTTCTAATTGCTTTCAGAATTTCATTATTGCTTTTGGAATTTCATAATTGCTTTTAGAATTTGCATATATTGCTTTCAAAACTATTAAATATACATAATGGCAAAATTTTTGGAAAAAATTAAAAAAAAAAACTATTCATTTACCTTTGCTTATTTGCTGTTTTAGAAAAATGTAAATAATAAAAAAATTTTGAATTATTTAAAAAATTTTCTTCTATTAATTAAAATTTCATTTTATTCTATTAAAAAGAAATCAATTTTTTTGAAATTTAATTTCAATTTTTATTTTTTTAATTTCTTTCTTTTATTCTCCTTTTTTTCATTTTGAAAATTGTGATAAACACAAGAAAATTTAAATTAAATAACATCAACAATAAAAAATAAAAGAAAATTCTCCCCCAAGTAGGAAAACAGTTAAAACTTAAGTGACATTGTTTTTTAAATGCAAAAACATTTGTTTCCTTTGAATGTTCTCTTGGCTTGAGACGTGAAAAAGGTGAATGCAAAATTTTCCCTTGTACTTTATAGTCTCGAAAAAGCGACAAGCAACAACGTTGGCCGTTGAAACGTCAACAGCTGCAATCCAGACCCCCGAGTCGACTTCATTTGCTCCTCTTTACATTCTTCAGAGAAATAGTTTGGTCTCGCCGAACTCAGCGCCACAAGAGAAACAAGAATATCTCTTTTTCTCCGCTATGGGTTACGAGACACAGACCAAAATGAACAAACTCCCACTCCCCCCATTCTAATCCCATGAAGAATATATATATATATATATAACTCAAGATGAATCTTGTTCTTTTTTTTTACCATTCATAAAAAAAATTGAAATGAATATAGAAAAAAATCAGGAAAAAAGCAGACGCAAAGCGCCTACATCTAGGGTTTCGTGGCTTTTTAAATGCAGATCAAAAGTTATTTGAATATAATAAATAATTTATAATTACATTATTTGTGAATTGCTATGGTTGCTATGGAAACGGTTGCTACCGAAATCAACTGTTGCCATAGTAACTATTGACACAGTAACTGTTGCCATAGTAAGTAATTGTTTCCATAGTAACTGTTTCCATAGTAACTGTTGCCATAGTAACTGTTGCCATAGTAACTTTTGCTTTCGGCCCTGGACCACAAAACCCTAAAAAAGGAACAATTAGGAAAAGAATAAGACCTTTTTTTCTCGTCGATAAAGTTTAATAAAATTCGTTGTAATACTTTAATTATAATTTTTTTTTTGTCGAGGTAAGTATGTGCATATATTATATTACATCAATTATTATAAATATAAAAGTATCGATTTTTGGAAGGACACTTCGAATAAAAAAAAATTCAGTCATCACATAACACACATACATCAATTATGATTGCCGAATTCGAAGAATGCTTTCTTTCTTTTTTTTTGAACCCATATAATAAAAATGCGCAGGAAATATTTCATTTTTTCTTAAAAAATAAAATTTATATTCAGAAGAAGCAATAATCTTTTCTTGAAGAAAAGAAATTATGTTTTTCCTTTTTTTTTCATCATACTTTTCTTAAAAATATGTTTTTTTTCAGGCAATATTTTTCTTCATAAAAATCTATTTAAAAATTTATTTTTCTAGATATTTTTCTAGGCAATATTTTCAAAAATTTTCTTACAAAAATCAATTATGAATTAAATATATATACACCTTAAAAATTACTCTTCAAATATTTATTCTTAAAAATATTTCCTCAACAAGAAATGAGTTCAGAGTCTTTTTTGCATAATTCTTCGGGTTTTTTTTTGTTTGTTTTCATAATATCACAAATCACACATTCAGACACAAATAAATTTTCCCATCGCTGTTTTCATTCATCAATGTCTTTTCTTATAGTACACGGAAAAAAATTTCCGGAAAATGCTGCGATATCTACTGAAGTTTATAGTTTATATAAACCAGATAAATTGGTGACAATTTTTTTATCACAGCAGCATATGAAAATTTACAGATTTAGACCTGTAGAAACTACATTTCTGGAAATTTTTTAACGTGTACAATAGTGTGGCACTTGAATTAAAAAAAAAATAGTCTTAACCTCCCTTTACGAGAAGGAGATGGGATATAAAATCGATTACGAAAGTCAAATCACATATCACAGACAAGCTGCGGATCGCTGTCACGTCCTTTTTTTTAAAGAGAGAGTGTCACGTTACGTTCTTGTTTGATTCGCTGCACTTAGGGGCTGATCCGGTTTTGTGGGTAGGGGTCGATTTGCCATTTTACTCATTGAACATTGATTATTGTCCGATAATTCCGAATAAAGATGTGCCGTTGCATCGGATGGCTCAGCATATTCACAGAGCAATGAATTTGGCCTTTTGCCACTAATTTTTGACCCTCCAAGTATACTTTCGCCGAGGGATTTAAAAAAATTTGATCTTATTCGTGAATTATCAATTCTGCAATCTTTTGCATTATCATCGTCTTCTTTGGTATTTGAGAACCTGTAGTTTTCGCTAATTATATGATCGTTAACAACATCCGGTGGTAGTGGTTGTGGTGCTCGTGGTACAAGTCGACTTGTACTTGGCATTGTCTCATCACCTGGTAATTCGGCATAGAGATGATTTTGATCATTGTTGATTCTAAGATCACGTGGTTCGGCGTATTCGACAATTTGTGGCCTTGTACGAATTGTAATTGGTAACAATTTCTCAAGTGATGGTATTTTTGTACCAATTGTTGCCGTTGATTTTGGAACGATTCTAATTTTTCTCGATTTCGGTATTATGATATCGTAAGCGTTGTCTTCGTCGAAATTTGGCGATAAACGTCCTTCATTGTTGTTATTGTTACAACTCTCCTCGACCTTTACCAAATCGTATAAATGCTCAATCATATCACGTGCTTGTCCATAATTATCCGGATCGTTTAGACGATCTTTGAGATTTTGCAAATATTCAGCAGTTAATTCCTCGGGAAGTGTTTGCGTTGCCTTATTCTCCATGTAGGCATAGGTACCCTCATCTTCGGGAACAATTTCTTCCGGTTGGGTATCGATTTCAAGAATTCGTGTCTCTGGTTGTAGTCCCGCGTACTCGTGAACACTTAAACGGGAAATAGATCTCGCCGATGTTGCCGCGGTCATACCACTTGTTGGTGAAAACCATGAACTTGCGAAATTTGTCAATGAATTCGATGTTAATTTTGGACATACTCCACGACGTCTCATGTAAAGAATACCCGATGTTAGAATTACGACTAAAACAGAGAATACGGCAACGACACAAGCGATCACTATGATTCGTTTTTCCCTCTCTAATTGATCGGGATCACTCATTTCGACATCAAAATAGCCACGTTGTCGAGGATAGATGTGTGGACCTACACTCGGTGGACTTGGACTTGGTTCGGGTTTTGTTAATGGATTTGTGCAATTGATACGAAAACCTTTGGAGCATATGGTTTTTGTGTAATTCAACATGCCTAAATTTCCCTCAGGTAGATTGAAACAATTACGAAGAACTTTGTCAACGAGACAATAACTTGTGTCCATCATCCAGGCAATGGAACTATTACTTGTTATTAATTTTTGAACCCAGGTCTCCATATTACAATTACATGTCTCCTTGAAGTAATTATTACTCACGCGGGCTGAATTTAATTTTTGGGAGATTTTGGTAAATGCCAATGCTCCTGGTTTCACTGTTGAGAGACGATTCTCAAAGAAGGAGAATTCATAATTAGACACTGAAGTCGCGTCAGTACGTGCTGAAATTGCATCCGTTTCGAGATAATCAAACATGTTGTAGTCAATCGACAAACGATTCCATTGATGAAAGGTAATTGCCCCCTGACGTAGATTTTGAAATTCGTTGTTGTTAAAAGTCACCGTCGCTACTGATATGTCTATCGCTCCCTTCTCGACCTCCGTCAGTCTGAAAAAAAATAGATCGCAGTTAATAAAAAAAAAACAAATTAAAATAAAATTGTAGATTTAAAAATAATTTCGACTTTTAACGAACCTTGAATACTGAATGGTTAGATTATTAGCTCCTGCCCTAAGGGCACCAGATCGAATTGTCTTTAATCTCACGTCTACAAATTCTAAACTGTGAATTAACGTTCTCTCATTGAACGCTCCAGTTTCAATTTCAAATATTGAAGCATTGCTGATTATCACACTGAGAATGTTCATCGAGCAGAATGCATCCTTGCGTATCACTTTCGTCCAAATATCATCCATGCGAACTTCTGCAGCTGTCGAAGGAAACACTGCTGTTGGTAGTTCGGGAATTTTTACACTATGGAACATAATCTGCACAAAAAAAGATACCATTTTTTTAACAATTGAAACAGTTTATTAGTTATTCGAAAAATTGTATTTCAATTTAATATCCTCGTAAATAAATAAAAATATTTAATTATCAGAAAAAAGAAATTTTCCATTAATTTGTGTTTAGGTACAACCCAGAACCTGTTTGTGTGTAACGCCCATATTTTGTTTTAAAAGCCACCTGTTTCTTTTTTTTTTTGGCAGGCAAAAATGAACACCTGTTTCCCCTAAAAAAACAAGAAGACAAACAAACCTTGGTCGCTGGTCCATGGCGTCCGTGTTGTGGAGTTTCGAATTTAAATGCATTACTGGATAGTTCCAAATTTGGAACTTCACGAACTGTAATTTGTAGAAGCCAAGAAAATGCACTGGGTTTTATTGTGACGTGTCGACATCTGGATATAGAAACACTTAGAGGTCCCTTGGTATTTTTAAATGCATGACTCTCAAGTATCACACGATTGCATTCCGAAACTTCTAGCAATGGATTTGGTGCTGATAAATTTTGAAATGCCTGTCTATTGGCAACAACAGTATAAATTCCCGAGACATGTACACGTTTCAATTGTGTACCACCAGTGAAGGCTCCTGTTTGTATTCTTAATTCACGACAATGTGACACTTCAACCTCCATTGTGTCTTCCGGTATTGTACCTTCCAATAGATCGACATCCTGTAACAGAAAATTTATTTATGAATTTAAAGTTTGTTTTTGGAAATTTGATTTGAAAAATTCAGATTTTGAAAAATTATTTATAATAGAAAGTATCGTAAAATATTATAAACGATTCTAGGGATGTAATTTTAAATCGATGGACGTTTCATACGAACGAGTGAAAAATAGAAGTTTCTCTTCAAGCTTCGATCTTTGGGAAAAGCGAAATGGGAAACCCCTTTGGCTGCTGCTTCTTCCGCTCTCTTGGAAAAAACGAACCACGCTACGTGACACGATTTGGGAACAGCATCAGTGGAGAGAGAGAGCGAGAAAGAGGGAAAAAAAAGAGAGAAGACATTCTCTTCCCTTTCGGAGCAATGTTGCCACTTCGACCTTACAGAGTGCAATCCTTGCACGCATCAAAGCGCATAATTAAATGGCCTGGCAACCTAGCGTAATGTCCATTGTTTCCCGCAGTGGCAAGGTCTGATACTCTCATATATACAAGAGCAAGTTCCCTCACCGCTTTCTCAAGTTACGCCTTTTAAAGTGCCATTTGGATTCTTATTACGATGAGTCGCTTCAAATTATCATTAACATTCTTAAAGTCACGATCCAACTCTATGGGAGGATAAACATTTCATATATATATCCTTTTCCTTTAGATTAAGGAACGAAGATATACGAAAAGTGCTTCTTCCGATTCCTTTTTTTTCTTGTTTACAAAAATTACCATTAGGGGAAAAAATGTTGATTGCAGAGAAGAAAAACTACGAAACAAATTCTTTGATATAGATAGAATTTTCTTTTAGCTGAACAAATTCTGTAGTGTTGAAAATCTGTTAAATTCTGATAACGCTGATAATGCTAAATAACTGATAGTAAATTAATAACAAATCTCTGATAGAAATTACTGATTATTACAACCATTCCAGTGGGCAGAAAAACATGTTCGTTCCAAAAACGTTTTTAGAACATTTCATGTCAGCCAAAAAGTGTTCTAGAACATTATTTGAACATCCATGTTCTTAAAATGTTTCAGAACATTATTTGGCGGACATGAACATGGTTTTTGGGTTTTTTGACAAAAATGGGATGAGTAGGCTTCTCATATGACAATTCAATATGAGTAGAATAGATTCAATAATTGATAGCTATTTTTACCATCTTATTTACAAATAGAAACTCAGTTTGCACACTGTGAAACATATGTTATTGAATCCATAGCATTTCTGCCAAAGGTATAAAAATTATTGATTCAAAAGCATATGCTATAAAATCAATAAAATATTTTACAAATTTTATAGCATATGCTTTTGAATCAATAATTTTTATACCTTTGGCAGAAATGCTATTGATTCAATAGCATATTTTTCCCAGTGCAGATTTGAGAACCGAAAAGCTGCAATTAAAAAATCTAAACATAACAAAAGAACATAACGGATAGGTGAAACAAGCAGATGAAAATTGTGTATTAACCAAAACATTTTGACCTATTTTGGCTACAAAATTTTCTATTTTTCACAGAAAATTAAAAGGCATTAAAATAATAAGCGTTGCAGCTTATTTTAATGCCTTTTAATTTTCTGTGTTGCTATCTGATAGAAATTATGAATTTGTGGATTAATTTTAACCTAATTTATAAGGTAAAATTGTACACGAACTAAGTAGTAGATGGTAAAATCCAACAACTCATTTCTAACAGATTTTAGAAAAAATGGATTGTTATATTTACAATCAGGCGGTACTTTCAATCATTGGGGGGGCTTTATTTTTAGAAATCCATTAATTTGTAGTGTTACATTAAATCCTAAATGTTAAGGTTAAATTTTTAGTAATATTTTCTGTCTTAAATTTCTTTCCTCTGCATGTATAAAGTTAGGAGCATCGGTGGTATTCTATTGTTATTTATTATGAAATATTTTATCTTCAATTGGATCTTTATGAACTTCAAACTCTGGTTGTTTCAGTTTGTAGCCAGCAAACACCTGAAGTGGTTTTTGTTCAAATTGCTTCAAATGAAACTTTTTTCTCCGTTATTAGTTATATTAAGTAATTTCAGTATTCATTTGTCTTTGATTTAAAACAAAAATAATAAATTAAATACAAAAACATTTTAATATCCATAGAACATTAGAGCAATTTGTCATATTCACATTTGCAATTGTAATGCGGAGAATGATAATTATTTCAAGGTCGTCTCGGAAATGTCGCTGGGTAGTAATGCATTTAACTCGAGATGAATCATTTAATTAGTTTAGCGGGCAGAGTTAAAGGGAGGGAGAAGAGGGGGTCAAAGTTGGAGAGATAGAGGAGGGACCATCAACGGAGGGCACTTCCGGTAATGACTTTCAGCTGGATTGCTTATTTATAGTTTCGCAAAACCGCCACGGCTAATGGGGACATTTAAGCTCGACTCCACTTACGAGGAATTTGCCTATCTTTCTCTCTCTCTCTCTCTAATTAGAGACTGATATACTTATTAATGAAAAATGACGATACCATACTGGAATTCGTAATCGCGAGCAACATTAATAAATGATTTTCTCTTCCTTACACCCCTTTTTTTAGAGAGAAAGGAATGCAGCTTAATTATTTTACTTTCCTTCCTTTGCCTCTCTCCCTTGCGCCATAAGAGACGCGCGAGTGTTCGAAATAAACATTTAGGGTTTGAACCGGAAAGCTTTTACTGCGCGCCACACAGTTTATATTTAGAGCACAATGCTCCCAATTTAGATATTATCCGGTGTCCCTTTTTTTTTACTCCTAATTGACTATATATTCTTTGGAGATTTGGATAATTTTTATGATTCATTTAATTTAATAATAAGGGATTTAATAAAATATCATCGCAGGAATAAATTTCATTGTTAAAATCAAAATTACAATTAAGAATATAAATGTGAAAAAAAGATTTATCTGTAACAGAGAAAGGTTTGACTAAAATCGCTAAAATTATAATTGTAAATCTTTCTGAATTTATTGTTCCAGATGAATTCCATTTCCCGTATAGCGTAAATCCTTGGATGTTTTGTCAAAGATTTTTGAAATGGATTATATTATAATGGAACTTTTTTTTATCTTTTTTTTTCGATGATCGATTACGGATCTTTTTCTGGTCTGATTGAAGTTGGACAAAAGATAACGTGTTTGTGTGTGTGTGAGATGCGAGCAGCTATTACAACGTTGAGATCTCTTCACACCCATTTGTGTTCTTGTGTTCCATTTTCTCTTCTCTTTTGGGAAAGTTGGGGCAACCCTACTGTACGTACATACCACATATAGTACACGTATATAAGCCTCAGAGAGAAGAGAGGACTTAAATCTCTAATCCTCTAATTCTCCGAACGGTAGACCGCACATCCCGCCTAAGAAAAGCTCTCTCTCTCTCTCTCTCTCTCTCTCTCACTCTTTCTCTCTCAATCTCTCGTGTCTCATGTGCACTTTCTCTCATCTTCTTTTTTATTCTTCTTTTTCTTCTTTTTTTTCATTTAAACCTTTCTTTCTCTCCTGATTTTCTCACTTGTCGGATTTCATCGTTGTCAGATTGTCAACGATGGAACGAGGTCGTAATCTTCCTCCAAGTTTCAAGTTTCATTAGTCAACGTCTTATATATAAGGAGAGGTCTTTAAAAAGTATCATCGATCCGCGCAGTGTCCCCTCTGATTTATAACAATTTGAATTTGAATTCTTTAAGAAATTCTTTTGAAATTTTTAATTAATTATAGAATATGATTAATATAGGTGGAAAAAAATTGATTCAAGCTGGGAAGCATGAATTTTACATTAAAAAAAATCATTAGTTAACATTTTCATTTTAAAGAATTTTATTATTATTTTTTAGACGAATTTTCATTTTTCAAATTAGCATTTAACAGAATTTTAAATGATTTTAAACGAATTTTTATACTTAACAGATTGTTTCGCTTAATTTTTATTTATTACTTAACAAATAAAATAAATATTTTTTATTTATAGAATTTCTCTTTACCCAACTTTTTATTTAAAGAAAATTCTAATTTAACTGAACATAGTAATTTAGCAGAATTTTCATTTAACCGAATTTTAATAAGTGATTCGAATTTTTAAATGCCTGAATTTCCAATTTGCCGAATTTTTATTATGATAGAATTCTTAAAATGCCAAATTAACATTTGTCCGAAATTGCAAATGACCGAACAAACATAACCTAAAAAAAATTCGGCGTGATTTTAAAATTTGACCAATCAGAAATTATTAAGAAAATTGTGATTGGTTAATTTTAAAATTAGCGCCGAAATCTTTCTGTCGATGGTTTGTCAGACATTTGCAATTTCGGACAAATGGAAATTTGGCGTTTTAAGAATTACATCAAACTAATAATTCGTGCAAATAAAAATTTGGATAAATGAAGATTCGGTAAATTAGAAATTTTGTCATTTAAAAATTCGAATTCAAAAAATGAAAATTCGTGTTAAAAATAATTATATATAATGAAAGTTATAAATAATAAATTATAACACAAGGTAATATTATCTAGAAACTGCTAAATAGTAGTTTCTGGGTAATGTTACCTTGTGTCATAATTTTTTTTTTTAATTAGAATTGAATTTAGTATAAATAAATGTATTAATAAATATAATCATATAGTAAATATATATTGAAGCTAAACTGATTCCCTCTTAAAATTCTTTAGAAATATGATATATTAATGCAAATTATTCAAAAATATATGAAAGGGCGTATTTCGAAAATTTTCTGTTTGTATTACAATCTTTATAGTCGGGAAATTATTTGTAATATTTTGAAATTTTGTAATTTATGAAATACTCCATATCTGACATTGAGTGTTTGGACAAATTTTATATATTTTGTTTTTTTTCAATGTCACGCTGTTCATATATTATAAATATTATTTTTTTTTATTAATAACAGTTATGTAACATTTACGAGCAAACTTTAGTACTAATTTTCAATGAAATAAATTTTATGCGTACAAAATGTCAACAAAAAAAAAGAGAAAATTTTTCTCTAAAAA